TTTATCCAGCTCATGATGTACAGAATTTGCTTGATTGTATTTAAAATCTGAAACAGCTTATCATACCATACCTACTTACTGCCTATATTTCTAAACACTTCTTAACTTCAAGGGTATTCTTCTTTAGTTGTGGACTCTCAAAACATAAACCCATGCACCACTACGCCAGCATAATCCAATTTACACGTCAAACAAAAGTTGTCAAGATAGACAAAATCAACGTAAAATCTCGCACACAAGCGCATCGGTTTAAGTTGTCACACTATAGTAGTAAACAAAGACAAGTGGATAGAATATGTGATATTAACATAGACAAGGTTGCGTGAGAATAGACAATTCGAAGGTAAAGCTTAGGGAAAATATTCAAGCTTTAGAAGACATTAAGTAGTGAATACATCTGCGCCACTGTGACCGATTTTCAGCCACATTATCAAGAGTCCCTAATCACCGATTTCTATCGTCTAGGCGACCCAGGCTGTGTTAAGGTAGTACACTAGTCAAACGAAGAATCTTGATCTTGGTATCAGTTTACATATTTCTTTTGATCACCTCCAATTACGGACATCATTTGTGCCTACTGTCACCATCAATTAATCACTGTAGTACCAGTTATTTTGTCACTGCATTGCTTTCTGCTGTGCTAACTGAATAACCTAAATGAACGCAGATAGTGGTACAACTCTGCTGCAGCATGCCTTTACTGATTTATACCAGCGTAGGGATCACCAATCACAGTTATATCATAGTTCAAATTTTAAACTACACCCATTATTCCTGTATACGTAAGTCAGTTTTTCAAGGTTCGTTGGTTTGAACATTTAGACAGTGCTTCTCAAGCTTAAACCAAGTTCCACTTAGTGCCATATGACCAACCGGATAGTATCATGAACCATTACAAGAATGGCTCATAACCTTGCACGTAAACATACCGTGCCGAGTTCAACTGCAGTTAAGATCATCCCAAATAATCAGTAAACGAAACCCATTTGCCAGTTACATACATCCTTTTAGGTAGTGCATATAATCGTTACAATTCAACGCTTATTTCTTCTTTAGTCAATCAGACCTCTGATAAAACAAGTCTGTTCTTATCGAGTAATTTGAAACGGTCAAGATTTGTCTGCATCATTTGCAGGAAATGTCCTTACTATCCATGAAAAGGACGTATTTCGTGGTGTCACTATGTGAGTAATGCAGAAGTTAGGTGTAGAGTTTTGGGGAGAAGAGGTAGGTCAGTTGACGAGGTTGTAAACCTCCATCGACTGAGATGGTTGGGACACGTACTACGTATGCCTAGTCACTGATTGCCTCGTCATACAATATTGGCTGAGGTGGGTCCAGGCTGGAAAAAAGCCCGAGGTGGCCAGACTAAAACATGGCACCATTGTATGAAGTCTCTGGCTGTTGGTTTAAGCCATGTAGGACGATACAGACTAGGTGGTTGGGGTCCGCGGGACAAGAGGAACCAGTGGTTGGAGACCCTAGGTGATATGGCTCAGAACCGAAGTCAGTGGCGCAGATGTATACACACATTATCCTCATCTTAACAACGCTATACCGAATCTCACTATTTTGTCACTCCTCTTTCTTTTCTTCTCGTACTTTATATTTCTTTTGACTGCATTCACTTATCTTCATCCTTCACCTCACTACCTTTCTACTTGATGAACTGACGTGAGGTGTGGCAACTTGGACCGTTACGCAGTAATGCCTGGTCCTATGTTGATAATGATGATGATGATGATCCATGAAAAGGTGTGTGTCAAGCACTTTTAAATACAAATACCATGGGGGGAAATCGAACAGAAAGAACATGCTACGTTCAGCTAAGTTGGATGGAACAAAAAAGCTGTTTGAAGCAAGGGGGTGAAATGGCTGATTTTATGCCGTTGGTGTGAGATAGTGTAATGCAACTAACTTGGTATTTCCTATGGCTAACACAGTCGACTTTAGATTCACATCTCAACCATAACACTAATAATCGATTAAGAGCTGATATATCTTTGTATTTTATGACTCATATGGATCGTAAAGTTAAATTTGAGTTATACGTTGTGGCTGCAGTGCATTTAAATTACAGATACTGAGAAAACAATTTACCACTTGATCAAGTAATAGGAGGATGGGACCACAAATTACTGAGTAAACTTTCAAGCTGCCATGCCCCATATAACCACATCAAAGCAAGATGAAACAGGACGAAAAACATACATGGAAATGACACAACTGCATGTAGCAGAGAATCATAATCCACGAAAAAGAGGGTAAAAACCAATAACGATGTGATACAACAATTAGGATGAAGATAAAGCATAAATACAACAGCAACGCTGTGGTTGTCATACCACTTAGGGTCGGTCTGCAATAATTGTTTTCCATTGTTAGTCCATTTTAACCTGGAAACTTGTACTTCTCTGGACAGCTCAGACAAAAGTTCTGAGACTTTATGGACTGACGTTTTAGCCTGGCCACCCTCAGCTTTTAACAGAGTCGTCAACTTACTCATCTAAGACACTATAACTAGCCTTTACGATCCCCACCTGGTAGTTCCACGAGGGAAGCAACTAAATTCTCATTTTAAACAAAAACTTAATGGTCGATCGAAATAATCCAGAAACTGGAGCTATAGAAATACCGTGTCTAGAAAGGCATACTCTAACACCTTCCCTAATTGACTAATATCCCAACCCATCTTCCACTCTGAAAATGTTGGCTGAGACAGTCTAACCACGTTATTTGATGCAACACAACGATATATGACTCTGCACATAACCAGAACGCTTTTCAACAATGTGAGTCAGGCTTTAGAAAGAGTACAGATATCTAGGTTATACATAGCGGCTGCAAACAAACTAGAGAAAAGATAGAAACAATAACGTAGAATTTGGCAAAGAATTGTCATTTCAAGCTACAGTAACATGTAAAGAATTGGGTAGAAAGCAGCATTAAGTTGGAAATTAGCAAGTTAATGAGTAAATGCACGTAAATCAAAAGTTTAAGACACTCGGTAGTTAAAACCGTATACATTTGCGTTGACCCGCTGGCAACCCTTCATCTGCTCAGCGTCTAGCCCGAACATGAATGGGACGTCGATGTTAGACCTCAACCTCTCTTTAAAGGTTGTTTCAAATGCAACGACACAAAGCAGTAAGACGTGACGAGTTACAAACAAAGGTTCTCAGGAAAGGAAGCAAGAAACTATTGAGTACAGTAACAGATATACTGTGGTATATGGCATGAACGCACCACTCATGTTCGTGCAGGATGCTGAGCAAATAAAGTGTTGTGAGCTAGTCTACCTGTTCCCCAGTGTTTTGCCTAGCGTTCTAGTTGATTGTTCTGAGACGTTATTACGGTCCCATCCTTTCGGGTAACAGTCTCACAGATCATTGTCTTTTCCTAGCAAGTATTCTTCATAACCCTAAATAACTACAGAGTATTACTTCAAGCTGATACCTTCATTTATTTTCCATTTCTCCATCCACTACTATTTACAATTGTTTTGAAAACTTAGTAAATTTAAGTTTGAGCTGCTTTCAATCCTAATTGTAACCAGAGTCAGATGAAATGTCATCTTGCATCAATCAGTTCGAATGAGGTTGATGAAATCCACTGATTATTGCTGACATTTGGATGTAGGCAGTCAACTGCTTTTACTTCTGTTTCTACAAAAGACTGAATACCGTACTAGACTTCATCAGGAAGTTACTGCCCTGTTCAGGTAGATGGTTTGCTACTTCTTCGGTAGAAATACATGACGTTATCTTCCAGTCAAGCAAAAACGTTTCACTACTGTTTGGTTCCTGTGATCAGTGAGACGTAAACACACATTTGCCAGTACTAACTCATGGTCAGAGTAGGTAAACTAGAGAGGTCAGAAATCCTCCAGTGACTTCGTCTAAAGATGGCTTATACAATATGATCTACTTATGACCGTTTAATGTCAGCGGACTTTAGCCTTACGCGTGGATAAACGCAGATTTGTACCGACCCATTGCTTCGTGCTTAAGGATTCGAGAAAAGTTCAGTGATAAAACTAATATTACCATGATGAACTCAGTCAAGTCTATCAGCTGAAATACACTGGATAAAAACGCTATTTCGAAAAGAAATGGTCAATAAGATGAGTGGTAGTGATTCAAAAAATAGCTTGGTAAGTGACTGTGTACCTGAGTAATTGAGGTGCAGTATTACGATGTTACTTCTACTGAATGCTCAGCTATAAAATCGAGCATCAACACACTAATTTTACTCAGCAAACTGAAAAGCACGGAAAACAGGATAGAAATTACCAACTGACTCACACGTACAATGAGAAGCCAGTTGCCACGTCGCTAATTTCGCACTTCAAATACTGAATGTTACCAAGTACTCAAGCAATAGTAGATTATGAATAGTTACTGAAAGAAAATTGCATGCAATGTGGTGACATTGTGTACCATTGTGTTTCAAACCTAAAAACACCTTTTACGGTCTGTTACAGCGCTTTGAAAACTCTGAGACAGAAATCTTATACTAACTTTAAGACCCAAACACGTTATGTTTGACGTTACTACATGATTAAAGTGAAGTGACTGACAATCACCCAAATAGACCGTGTTAACTTCCCTTTGGCATACTTCAGATGTCCGTTCTTCTCAACTCACTAAAAGCACCGACGAATACTGGCCCCCTTATACGGATGTGATAAGCGACATCGCATGCAGCTATACGAATTCGTGGGGAAAGGCAAATGATGAAAGCCTCAGTCCACAGTTGATTAAAATTGGTTAGGCGGACTTATCAATCCTATATTCTTGACCATCAACATAAAAACCAACGAAATTTTAGTGAGGAAATCGAAAAAACAAGATGGTGAACACGTAAAAGTTGGGGGAAAATAGGTAAGTGAAGCTGGAGTCGATTACTTAATGAACTACTCCTAAGCAATAAACGGCCTACTTCGGAGTTATTTTGTTGAAAATTCCGGAAATACGAGTTAACTTAAAAGTCTAACTTACAATTTTTACCTTAAATGTAAACTCCACAAATATACATCCAAGAAATATGTGAAATTAATCATCTTCAATACTTGGAGATTTGAAAGATCGCCAAAGGTCTATTGATTGTGAGTTAAAACAAGGTGAAGTTAGAGGATGTCTCAGTATTCAAAATCCAGAATAAGTATTGCAAATGAATGGAATTTTACCAAGACTATTTCACATCTCAAAAGGATGGAGCAATTCTGACTGGTGAATCTTAACTCAATAACATAGATGAAGTTTGGCTTAGCCATGACGCAGCAAAACCTTTCAGTTTACAAGCTTTTCAAAATAAAATCTTGGTTGTAACGCAGTCAATAAATATATAATCCGATGGGAAATTTCAGAGGTTTGAATGCTTTCGACAACTTTCCGACAATCTGTCGACAATATTTGTGCTTTAGGAATAATGGAAACGAAGCAGTCTGGAATAAATCAATCATTATTTATATTATAGCTTTGATATTTGCGGTAATAGGAGCAGATGGTTATCCAAGAAGCTTGAATTTCCAATCAGGCTATTTGCCAGTAAGAAACAGGATGAAATAAGATCAGTTGCTTGCTTCAGTTTCTTCACATAGCGGCGGTAACTTTTGAAACTGTCAAGAGAAAAAACTTGGACACACTGGTTTTGTGCCATAAATCTGAATAAGGCTATCTAACTACTACCCCATAATCACACTCAGCAAGAACCAAAGTATGGCTTTGACTGGTTAGTGAGGAAAAAACCCGCTAATAACTCGCGAATTATAACATTATTATGCAAATCGCAGTCTCCTCTGATTCAAGCAAATTATGCTATTGTTCCATAACAGACATGTCAGCATAAACCCACTGCAAGCAGGCTTTCACCAAAAGTGTCCGAACCATAAGAGTGGGATTTCAGAAGAGTTCTAAGTTCATAAGCAAAGAAACACAAAAAGGGAACATCAAAGGTTAAATAGGAGCGAGAAATGAAGAGCGCTAAAAACCGTCCGGTAGGGACACAGAGAATCTGAAACATATCCTGATGGAATCATCGGAAGGCGCACTACTCATCGTTCACAGTTTGTAGATGTTTCGAACTGGGTTGTGCATGTATAATCCAGAGGCTAAAATCCAACATCTTATGGGTGAAGACTTTGAAAGTCAAGGTTGGCCCTTAATTAAGTGCGAGAAATTACATGAGCATGATAAGCCCAAGGTTGCTGTGACATTCCTTTCAGCCCCCCTTTGGGGGGCGGAAAACACCCTGAAACTGCTGACCAGTTTCAAGAGGTCAGCCGAATCTACTTCGAACACTTCCACGGATACACTGCATATGGGCGCTAAGAAGGCTTACAGGTGAGTCAACTGTTAATCGCCAATGATCCCTTACTGAATGCAGAAAGCCTTCTTCTGACTTCCTGTGCAACTCCGTTGACGCTGACGTTGCCGAGATGCAGGCAGTATGCAGCCAAAGCAAATACCCATTGACGAGCTACCTGGGCCACTTCTTTCACCAATCCCAAGGTTGGTTTACAAATGTCGCCTGACTTTCAACAGCACGTCTGGTGGAGTAAGGTTCGGTGCATCTTCTCCTGTACCAGCACAAACCTGAAACGCCGACCATGTCTGCAGCCTGCAAGTCTACATGGCAGTTCACGTCGAACGCTCCTAGGCCCCCAAGTGCGGGGTCCTTTACGAAAGATATTCCCAAATTCCAGCCGAAACTTCTGAGTAAGTCACAATTCACACCCATTGGAGTATGTAGAGGGAACTACTGAAGTTTCGAAAGTGACAACAAAGCTGCGTTCACTTCTCTCGGAAGAAACCCTGAACGGAACTTCAGCCTCCGGTGGCATTTCCATAGACGACTTACATGTCTACTTTCCACTGGTAACGGAGGACCAGTTAAACTTCTCGGAGGTGTCGTTTAGGGATGAACACTCCAGGGGAATATCTGTGAGTCACAATTAGTGGAGTCTAAAATCGCAGACCGCAAAAATGGTGGCCGAGGTACAAGATGAGCCGACGTGATCGTTGAAGGTAGTGATGAACAGCGTCTTGCAACCAGATCTCGGCATGCAGTTTACCATGCTGGGAACTTCACCAAGGACTGGGACCGCCAACTACAACTTCTCAAAAATAACGAAATGTAAGATTCACGTTTGCCACTGTTCTCACTATGGCTGCTGTAACTTCAAAGTTCGCCAGACCACTAATTTCCCAATGGGAAATTGAAGGTATCGTGGATGCCACTACCAAGTCCCACTTCCACAACATACGGAACAAGGTTGTTTGGCGCTTGAGGCTGGAAGCATTCGGACGTTCTTTAGTCCTTGCCCATAAAATGTGTTTGTCTCTCACCGCAAAAAAGCCCCCTGAACTTTCTCCTATTTTATTTTTACAGCGGTCAACTTTAAGCAATACCGATGACCAAACCGAAGCGGTGGGTCGACTTCGAAATTTCAATCTCATTTGATGACCTCATCAATGTTGCTATGTACACCATAAATCTTTTCCCGCAGAATGTCCGTAACACTGAAGACCAAAATGAATGAAAACCGACAATTTCAGAACAATTTCTCGTAAATACTCTCCATAAATACAAATACCCTGCAAAAACGTGCAGTTTATCACTTCTCAATAAAAGGTGCGGAAATCGGAAATGAATTTCTCGTAATTAAAGCGGCCGCTGCTGAAGTACTGAGGAAATAAAGCGGTAATTTAGCCTCATTATAAACGTCATTCCTGAGACAATGCGGTGAAGAAATAAGGCGGGAATTTCGCGAAGTTGAAGCGGTAAGCGGTGAAATAATGCGGATAGTGCGAAAATAAAGCTGAGATTTTTCGTAATTAGTGTGGGTATGGCTGGAGTAAGGCGGAAATCGGGCGTAAACAAAGATACATCTGCCTGTACACGCCTAAATTATTCTGCGAATGCGTAAATTAAGCTGATGGTCCGCAAAAACCCAACTAATTGAGGCCCTATTCCAGTATTCCTAATCAATGCATCGACCTGAGCAGTCCTGTTCGACTGGATCCATGGACCTAGATCTGCAAGCTTATCGTTGGACTGTGAATATCTCCATCGTCCAGTCTTAGTATTACCATGAATATGCTCGATACGATTGGCCAGGGAACTCCTGGACTTCGGTTTGGCATTGCATATATGGTATAAGACAGCCATAGAATCCGTTCACAAATAAACCATATTTGAATTCCGTTTCGGTTCCTTTTCAATGCTCAGGAGAAGCTATGATGACAAAACTGTGACTTGAAGCTTTACTCAGGGCAGTTTGGCGGCTTTCAGAGATGTAACTTTAAACTTCAGCATGTTCTCTAACCACGCTTTTTGAGCTAAGTGAATATCTTCATCCGGCACCATGTTCTTGCCGAGGGTAAGTTGATATGTGCCGGGCAATGGGCACTCACGTTGATTTGCTACAAGTGCTTCAGCGAGTACAGGATCATAACCTTTATATATCCGTACATAACTTTCCCCATGCCCGACCATACTCCGAAGCGTATCCGCATCAAGTCAACGACGAATACTATCCAACTCGCGCATTACCGGTCGGACAATGCAGAAAGATGGTTTCTGTACACCGAGGCAAATTTTTGAGAACAGGGAGTCGCAGATCCACACTCCCGACTTCTTGCCGTCATACGTTCACTGCCACGGGAATTAAACAAGCACGTTACAGAGCTTGTGTTTAGCCACGAAATAAGTGATCCATATTCACCTGTTGAAGCTGCACTACTGACGAAACGTGATCTCACAGGCCGCCAGCGTCTAAACGAATTGCTTCGTAACATCGAGCTAGGCAGCAACTCAGTTACTGAAGTTCTCGCACGCATGCGAGAAGTTATGGGCATAAGAACCTTCGATAATGGCCTTTTCTGAGGGCCGGAACATCACTTATGATGAGGTTGCTTTCGGACTAAGCTGGTTTCAAACGGTCGATACTAATAGTATCTCTACGTCCGTTTCCCTCGACTATATAGAATTTTTCATGCCGCTTGATCACCTCGAATGATTCGTTGCAAGCTGGTTCAAGTGGCCGACGAACGGTATCTGTAAGGCGGGGTGAATGAAGACATCAGTTGTTTGGGGCCTAACGGTAGACCTAACTGAACGTATTGCGTTTGTAAGCCCAGTAGCGCAAGGCGTTCTGTCAAAAACATGCTTGAAAATTGAAGGGGAAAAATACTCACCCGGTGGGCGGGGAGTAGTCCCGTAGACGAGTTCTGCAGAGGTGCATCCAGCATCAACTTTCAGCGCGCCATGAATGCCTGGTAGGACTAGGGGCAGAGCCTCGGTCCGCTGAGGCATGCTCGCGGCTGGAAGGGAAGCTTTCAACTGTCGGTGGAAACGCTTTGCCATACCATTTGCTTGTGGATGGTAGGCTGTCGTTTGAGGCCGAATGCGACCTAAAAGTATGCTTAAAGCGTGAAATAATCCATACCTGAATTGACGCCCACGGTCGGTTGCTACGTAAGATGGACACCCAAAGTTCACGATCCATCTTTCAACGAAGACACGAGCGACAGTTTCAGCAGTAATGCTCTTAATAGGCACCGTTTCTGGCCGTCTCATAAAAAGATTCGCACAGACGAAAAGATAAGTGCATCCACTAGATTCCGGTACAGGTCCTACAACGTCTATACGGACGTCATCGAAACACATATCTGGGGCCAGAAAAGAACCTAAAGGGCTTTACGTGTGTCGCGTAACTTAACACTTCTGATAAGCTGAGCACGGCTGAGCCCACTAGTTATCGTCTTCGTTCGTTCCCGGCCGGCAGAAACGTTGTGCAATAAGCCTGATGGTGGCCCGTACACCTGGATGGGATAGTTTGAGCGACGTATCGAAGACATTGTGTCGACATCTCCTTGAAACTATTGGGCGTGGCTGGCTAGGAGAGACATTGCATAAAATTGTATCCTCTCCCGATCCAACTGGACACAGTTGTAGCTTGAGGGTTGTGGACGACAACTCATGGTGCAGCTTACGGCCTTCTTTTTCACACCGGTACGCGTTGACGGCAACCGTAGCCGATGGAGGCAGCTGTTAGCTTTACGTTATCGATCTAAAAGTGAAAGTTCGCTACGTCGATGGCACTG